GAAAAGTGGGTGAAGGGAGACATTGGACAGTGTAAGTCATGACAGGGTAATAATAATTTATAAATTATCAATGGTTCATGACGGAGGGGGGAGCAGGGAAGGAGTGGAAAAATGAGGAGCTGATACTAAGGCCTCAAGCGGAATGCCAATGTTTTGAGACTGATGATGGCAACAAATGTATAAATGTGCTTGACACAATGGATGTATGTATGGATTTTGATAAGACTTGTATGAGTCCCCAATAAGATGATTAAAAAAAAGAGAGAAATAAATGCTTGTTGGTTAAAGGCATTATGTTTTGAGGGTGTTTCTCTTAAAGCATTGTGTAGTCACTGACAACTCATTCAAAAAGAGACTTCAGTTGGCGAAAAAATATCTTAGGAAGTACCTAAAGGAGAAATGAAAGAATTGGGAGAATCAGATTGAGAATTCCACAGCAGTTTCAAGTCTTTCCAAACAAGCACAATTATGGATCCTTCTTCAATAGTCATTCCAGATGAGCATAATGAACTTATGTTTGGCAAGACACTATATTGTGCAAAATTCTCAGTGATGGGAGCCCTGAAAAAACAAAAGTGATCCCAAGAGATTGGCCATGGACTTGAAGGTGGTCAAATGGTTGATGCTGTTTAGGGTGGGAGAGAATGGTGTACTCCACCAGTTGCCTATGTGCCCATGGTTCAAGAAGACTTGTACAAACAGGTTAAATTGAAAACCCTAATAAAGAGGAGGAAAATGGATGCTAGTTTTGGAAGGAAATACCTATAATAGATATGTGCATGGGATTAAGAATTTATATAGAAAGTAGACACGTTAATGTAAGAAATCAGAGCAGCACTGTCAGTGTATTCCATCATCACCAGACTGTATAGTTCAAAGTGCTCTAGACCATTTGCTGTTCATTCAGAATCTGTATATAGACCAAGAGGCAGTCTTTTGAACAAAATGAGAAGATACTGGATGGCTTAAGGTCAAGAAAAGTGTGTGTCAGGGTTGTATCTTTTCACCATAATTATTCAATCTGCATGTTGAGTACATAATTTGAGAAGTTGGACTATACGAACAGTGTGTCATCAGGATTGGAGTGAGGCTTTTTCACAACCTGCTGTATGCAGTTGACAGAACCTTGCTTACTGAAAGACAAGAAGAGTTGAAGCATTCAATGATGAATATAAAGAATACAGCCTTCAGAATGGATTAAAACTCAATGGAAACCCATAGCCATTGAGCCAATTCTAACTGGTTGCTATTATTATCTTTTAGCCTATTGTTGCAGCTACTGTGTCAATCCATCATATCAAGGGTCTTTTTTTTTTCTTTCTTCCTCTCTAACATATATGGTGGCTTTTTCCAGGGACTAGTCTCCCCTGATAATATGTCCAAAATATGTGAGACCAAGTCTTGCAATCCTTGCTTTTTTTCTCCCCCATATGTTTGAAATGAACTTTTATGTCACCAAAGACTCCATTTTAATTTTACTTTCCCTCCTTTTATTAGCCACTCAGACCAATATTTAGATCTGAGGGCTAAGGAATCTAGAAGTTTTCTTTCTTTCTTTTCTTTTTTTTTTAAGGCTGTAAGCCTTCACTCATTTTTATTTATTTATCTTAAAATTTATTTTGTTTTTAAGAAGCATATTCTGTATAGTTGCACATCCCATCTCAACAAATGAAATTAATAATAATATCCCATTTGCCACCCTCATAAATGTGGTTCTCTCTCTTTTTTCCTCTCCCACCCTCTCTTCCTCCCTCCCTCTGTAATTTCCTATCCCTTCGCCTTCCCTATTCCCACCCTTGTCCTTATCTGTTGGTGTAAAAGCCACTTTTCTTTTTCTTCATTTTCCCTTATAATAATGATGTAATTAATTTATCTTTATAAGATTTATTAACATGGATAAGAATAATGCAAGGAACAACCTCCCATTGGGGGGAAAATGCTTAACAATACTTATATAGAACTCAAGGGGAGAGTATGCCCAGTACTGTGTTCCTAATCGGACACTTTTGACCTTGGTGACTCATGTGGTTTGCTATAGACTACTTGGATTTCAAATTCTGTCCTTTTGATAAGCACAAGATCATTCATAGGGCACACCAGAAGGACTTGATGTGGAAGCCTAAGTGAACCTCAAACTCAACTGTAGGCCTTTAACTCAAAACTGAGACTCCCTAGTGTGAGAAGCAGATACCTGATATTCCATGGTTGTAGAACTGGTGGTCATTGGGTGTTGATTTGAATCTCTTTCCTTGAGGGTGCCTCATGAATGGTGGCCTAGGGCTACCATATACTTACTATTTGAATGCCTCCTAACTTCATTATGATATGTATTAGTCTGGTAGACATGTGTAGTAGTTACATAATCTGTGTCAATTTGAGAGGATTATGAGTGAAGGGGTGGAGTCTAATCTGTCAATCGGATCATAGCCAATGAGGCCTCTGTATGGGCATGGACTTCTCCCGAGAATTCTGGGATATTCGGTATTCCTTCTTGTAGGTGGGAGACACTCTCAGGTCACTCCCTTAGAGACTCTCTATTGACAAGGCTGACTCCCTGCAAGACATCCCTGAGGAGAAGCTATATGGACCTACCCTAATGCAGCTCTGGGTGCTGGAGAAGCCATGTGGAGACATCTGCCAGCCCTGAGATGCTTACACCGCCACTAGATCCAAAGACTTTCTACTCACTGGTCTGCGATCATCCTGTATTCAGCGTCATTGCCTGTGTTTCGTGAGTCTGAAGAGGACTTTATAGATCGGTATCGGACATATGGGATAATATCAGATTTATAGGCTTGGACTGGACTGGGTTGGGATGCTTTCTTAATGTACAATTACCCTTTCTATAAACTCTCTCATACACATATGAGTGTCTATGAATTTGATTCTCTAGTCTACCCGGACTAATGCAGCATGGCTCTGACTTTGTGAACCATGTTATTGAAGTGGAAGTCCAAAGTCCATTTGCAGGGTCCACACATGGTTTAAACCTCTGACCATAGTGGAGGGATGTGAATAGCTCTGTTATCAGAGAGGAAACATTGTAAAGTTGATTTATAGCAGATGTAGCAATGTTAAAATATAATACCTTGCCACTTGATCTCCCCTTTGACGCATTTTAAAGTGGTTTTCAGTTAAAAAAAAAAGTGAAGGTGAAATACACATATATTAAGTCTCTGATGAATTCCTTCTGACTATAGAGCAGGGATGTTAACAGCCTTGCTATTATGCATAACGCATTGGAAAGTAGATTGTTGCAGATGCAGTTAGGTTAAAACTTAACACCTTATCATTTGATCTCCCTTTTGACCTCTTTTAAATTTGTTTTGGTTTTTAATATTTTCTACTTTCTTTTCAATTGAGGTTTGTCTCTGTTTTACTTTGTTACTTTTTTATTTATTAATGCTTTTCTGTATATGAAATCCAGGACAGGTAAATCTATAGAGACAGTAACTGGATTAATGGTTTCTTGAGGGTATAGCGGGTAAGTGAAAATCTAATAACAAGGAATACAAGAAAGAAGAAATTGTTCTAAAATGGATTATGGTGATGATTTTTCACCTCTTCTTAATTTGATTGAACTATTAAATTGTATGATATGTAAATTATATACCAATAAAATTTAAAAATGGAATGTAATTGCAAAATTATCATACAGCAAAAATTTTTGTGCTAAAATTGAAACAACGAAGGGCAATGATTACAACATTAATATAGTATAACTTAACTATAATACCAAAAGAGAAAATTTACTTTGTTTTGGGAAGAAAATTATCAGTAAGTTTGCATATTGCTTATAATATAGAAACCATTAAACTTTTAAAGCATTTTATACTGTATATGCTACAGAGTCCAATATATGCACAAAAATATTTAGGGAAAAAGTTTGTGCTTGGTTTTCACATGCACATGTACATAGAAATAAACATATACACTCACAGGGGTAACACATCTGGACAAGAAATTAATTTAGCAAAATCAAACATTTAAAAAATCCTGCTAAGCCTTTTACTCATTTCTGTCTGAGACTTGGTAAAAATTCTAGAAACTGAATACAATAACATGGAAGCCCCTAAACACACTTCAAACAGACAAAATGCTTGCCAATATTTGAACCTGATTAACTAACAGGTTTAATGCACAACTTGAAAGGATACATGCTTAAAGTAAAGGAAGAACCTTTTCTACTTCTGAAGTAGGCTGGATGTTCATTCCAGGCTATAGGGTGTTGCACTAAGAACTTCATTATTTGTCTCCTGATCATTTGCTGATTCAGAGTCATTCAAGTCTTCCAACATTATTTCTTGCAAGAGTTCTAAGGCATATTCTGCATCAAGTTGAATTCCCAGAGCTTTGAGAATGTCACATTTGCACATGGGGCATGTCCCATGGGATAGAATCCATGGGTCAATGCAATCCTTATGGAAAAAATGCTTGCAAGTCAGAATACGAACTATATCATCAGCCTTGTAGGGTTCAAAGCAAATGACACAATTGTCTCCATTTGGAGTGATTTCCTCATCACCCTCTTTTAATACCCGGAGTTGGAGTTGGCCAAAGGCGTCCTTGAGATCTGCTATTAGTTCTTGCCACCTCCTATTCTGAATTCTTGCCATCCGATTTTTGCGAATCTGATAAAAGATGAAGTAGGCTATGGTAGCAACTATAACAATAGCAAAAGACACCAAATAGTGATTCATGAAGATGACGTGTCTCCTTCCCACTTCAATTATGGCTGTGACGCGAATCCCCTTCTGAATTAAACGGAAAATTTTGGAGCCTTTCAAGTTGCCGATCATTACTACCACGATGTCTGTAAAAGCCTGATGTGACATTGGAAATACTTGATTGCCAGTTCCAGCAAAGTTATATATAATGACCCCGCTGGCTCCTTTATCGACAGCCACCTGAATCTTTTGTGTGAAATTACATCCTCCTCTTTCAATGAGCGCAAACCAAGTCTCTCTGCCTTTTCCAAGGCTGAAGTTGGTATTCGGATGACATACATGTTGAGTTTTCCCATCTGGTGGCACAATAATGCCGGACACTTTCTTTAAAGCGGATCCTTTCCCAAAAATTCCTGTCTCGCCTAACTCAGACAGCATTCGGTCCCCCACATAGAAGGTCATATTTATATAAGCAGTCCAAACAGCATTGGCACTACAAGAGTTTGGAGTAAGAAGCAGTAGAAAAGTGAATCTCACGAACCAGGAGATGGTGTTAATTCTCCTAGCGTCAAGCTTGAGTGCCCTCATGTCTTTCTTTGGCGTGCCAACCCAACGGACAAACGGAAAGTACTTACAAATCAATTGGATTCGATTAGAGGGAACGACTGTGGTTGAAACCAGGTTCTGACGTTCGCCAGCATGCTGTCTGGAGTTCAGAAAGGAATTTTGAAAGCTGTCTTCGGAGTTTCAAATGGTTTACCGGAGTGATAAAAGGGTAAACCTGGTAGGATCGGAGGAAAATCCTAATCTGCCGGTTGCGTCTCTAAGCACAGCTCCTGTAACTAGGTGATTATGACGTAAAAGACAACACAGCCAATCAGATGCGGGCTTATAGCATGTGCAAATGCATTGCTTAGAGTGTTTCAAAAGATGTTATGGTTGATTTTATTGGCTGAACTCAATGACTACGTTACATCTGGCAGCAGGTATTACATTAAGTTAAAAAGTAAATGAAAATTTCATTCATTAATATAAAAACCGTAAACGGCATGCCCTCCAAAGTCTGAAAGCACACATTAAGAGAGCCCTGTGACTATTTTTCTAGGAGTCTAATTTTGTATTTTATTTTTATTTCATTTAAAAAAATCATTTTATTAGGCGCTAATACAACTAATCACAATCCATACATACATCAATTGTGTCAAGCACATTCGTACATTTGTTGCCATCAGCATTCTCAAAACACCTGCTTTCTACTTGAGCCCTTGGTATCAGCTCCTCACTTTTTCCCCTCCCCCCTCCCCCCTGAACCCTTGATAATTTATAAATTATTATCATTTTGTCATATCTTACACCATCCGACGTCTCCCTCACCCACTTCTCCGCCATCTATCCCCCAGGGAGGAGGTTCTACGTAGACCTTGTCATCTGTTCCCCCTTTGTCCCTCACCTTCCCTTCACCCTCCTGGTATCGCCACTCTCACTGTTCCTGAGGGGTTCATCTGTCCTGGATTCCCTGTATTTCCAGTTCCTATCAGTGCCAGTGTACACTCTCCGGTCCAGCCGGATATGTAAGGTGGAATTGGGATCATGAGAGTGGGGGGCAGGAAGCATTTAAGAACTAGAGGAAAATTGTATATTTCATCGTCCCTACACTGCACCCTGACTGGCTTGTCTCCTCCCCCTAGTCCTTTTGCAAGGGGGTGTCCAATTTCCCATGGATGGGCCCTGGTTCCCCACTCCACACTCCCCCTCATTCACAATGCTATGCTTTAAAAATTTTTTTTTTGGTTTTTGATGCCTGATACCTGATTCCTTTGATGCCTTGTGATCTCACAGGCTGGTGTGCTTCTTCCATGTGGGCTTTGTTGTTTCTCAGTTAGATGGTCCCTTGTTTATCTTCCAGCTTATAGGACCCCAGATTCTATATATTTTGACAGCCGGGCACCGTCAGCTTTCTTCACCGTATTTGTCTATGCGCCCTCTTTGTCTTCAGCGTTCATGTCGGGGTAGGCTGGTGTGCTTCTTTCATGTGGGCTTTGTTGTTTCTTAGCTAGATGGCCGCCTGTTTATCTTCAAGCCTTTAAGACCTCGGACGCTATATCATTTGATAGCCGGGCACCATCAGCTTTCTTCACCACTTTTGCTTATGCACCCATTTTGTCCTCAGGGATCGAGTCGGAACAGGCTGATGTGCTTCTTCCATGTGGGTTTTGTTGTCTCTCAGCTAGATGGCCGCTTGTTTATCTTCAGGTCTTTAAGACTTCAGGTGCTATATCTTTTGGTAGCGGGGCACCATCAGCTTTCTTCACCACATTTACTTGTGCACCCATTGTCTTCAACGATCGTGCCAGGAAGGTGAGCATCTCAGACTGCCGAATTGTTAGAACAAAGTGTTCTTGTGTTGAGGGAGTACTTGATCAGGGATCCACTGTCCATCTGTTTCCTTAATACTAAACCTATAAATATATGTACATAGATCTATTTCCCCCTCGATGTATATAAATATATTTACATCTTTATATGCCTGTATTTAAATCTTTTGCCTCTAGTTCTTTCCTCTATTTCTTTGTACTTTCCTCTTGTCCCACTATCATGTTCTGCCTTCATTTGGGTTTTAGGAATTCCTCTCGGTTACATTGCCCTTGATCCAGCCCTGCCAGACCTCCTACACCCTCCTTGCCACTGATTTTGGATCACTTGTTGTTCCCTTGTCCCTTGGCTTGTTAACGCCCACTTCCTTTCCCCCGCCTCCACTATTCCTATGTCCCCCTGGAACTGTCATCTCATTGTTCTCTCTTCTGGCTTGTTTATTCCACCTATCCCTGCCAGGTAGACATGCTATGTACCATCACATGACTGAGTACAACGAAGCAACAGCAGAAAATAAAACAATAGCTACAACAACAGAACACACACAGAGAAAAACGTATAAATAGTTCAGGGTCTGTTTGTTGTCCTTCATGGGTGCTTTCCAGTAAAGTCTGATGGGGTGCCATGCCCTGGCCCCACATCTATCCCTGGGGGCTTCATTGCTCTGCTCCCCCCGCTGCTCTGCTGCATGTACCCAGAGGCTGGCTTCTGTGTAGTGAGCTCATGGCGGGCACAATTCCCGCCGTGTGTCTCTAGTGTTGTCCCCAATGGTGCTATGGGTCAATGCGGACCGCAGTGTCCCGTGGTGAGGCCGGTCCTGTGGTCTTCTCTGTGCATTGCTGTTCTGAGCAGGAACATTGTCCTCAGGGCTTGGTGAGCCAGTTTGTGCTTCACTCTTCTTCCCCTCCCCCTCCCCCCCATCGCCCCTCATTGACTCCTGTGTGCTCTGACCAGACCAGTCCCTTTTCTTGAGCTATAGCTTCAGTGCTGTCCTCTGAAGTGAATTCTTCCGGGGGGCAGGGTGGTGTTGTCCACTTAGTTGGTAATGGGGCCAGCCCCTCAGGCCTCTCTATTGGTTCCCTGCTTCATGTCAGTGTGTTGCGTTCTTGTCTTGGAGCTCTGGGTTGAAGTCTGGTCCCTCTTTCCCTGTGGAGACACAATCAACACCCTCCCCCTGTGAGGGTTAGTGTACTGTTCCCCCGGCTACCCATATCTTTTATCCCCTCCCCTTTAATGGGCTACCATATGTATCCCATATGTATCCCTGAGGTTAGTCTGGCCCCTGCCATATTACCTGGACCTCACCCCAGGGACATATGTATACAGTACAGTATCTTCTTCCCTATGTCCCTTTTGCATTTTTTGAGCTTACCTCAGCGGAATCACGTAGTACTTGTCCTTTTGTGCTTGGCTTACTTCACTTAACATAATTTCCTCCAGTTCTTCCCATGCGGTGATGTGCTTCATGCATTCATCACTGCTTTTTAGGGATGCGTAATACTCCATTGTATGTATGTACCAGAGTTTTTTAATCCACTCGTCTGTTGATGGAAATTTGGGCTGTTTCCAGCTCCTTGCAATTGTGAACTGTGCCACGATGAACATTGGGGCACAGATGTCTGGCTGTGCTTTGTTTTTTTGTCTCTTCTGGGTATATGCTCAGTAAGGGGATTGCTGGATCATATGGTAGCTCAATTTCCAACTGCTTTAGATATCGCCAAATCGATTTCCCCTGTGACTATTTTTCTTCACTTCCAGTGATGTGACAGCATCAACTGGCTCAGGCACAGGAGCAATTGTGAAGATGACGCCGGATGGGGCAGTGTTTCATCCTGTTGTGCTTATAGGTCAGAGATGAGTTGATGGCACCTCATAACGACATAATCAGAGCGAAGAAAATATTTTCAACAAAATGGAAAACTTTTAAAAACTAGCACTCTGAGCAGTGTCTACCGAGAGGACTTTGGTGGAGAGGTTTCAGGGGTAGATTCAAATGTGCTCCTTGCTGGCCTCGCACGCAGGCCTCAAGGTAGGGTGAGCAGCTGCAGCCACCATCTGCTTCCTTCACCGTGGCTGGCTCAGAGGCACCTCGAGATGCAGCCGCCATCGAGCCTTCCCCTAGCGGATTCCCCAGTGAACAGGGGACTTCTCCTTTGACTCTTGAGCGGAGGCAGAAGATATCTAGAACCAGTCTCTGGACTGAGCAGGGGCTCCTCCTGGGTGTATTGTCCGACTGCATTGACAGAGTTCTTGACTCTCCTTTCAAAGTGCAGTGTTGAGATGGAGCCGAAGTTTCAGAGATAGGATCCTGAATGTAATCCTATCTCAGCGGTTCAATAGCATCTCCAGATGTCAAAGTAAACCTTGGTGGAGGTTTGTATCAAACAATCTACAGCTACTACATTTCTGAGACAGAAATGGCTTTTGGAAGTTGAAGATGAGGACCATGAAGATTACAAGCCACTCATAGAGGAATTGGATCTTGCTCTAAACGACATTTACTACAAAATCCGATGTTTTTTGATGCCGCCATTGCTTGGTTCTCATAGACAAGTGGTGAGTCCTGACTTCTGGGGTACTCTGGGTGTTGTTCTTTTCTTTACCATGATATGGACAGTGCAGGTTGATCTCCTGGATTATCACCATTTGGATATTTGGTTCCCTAATAATTTTCTTTCTGGCCAGAGTTCTTGGTGGAGACATTGCACATGGCCAAGTGCTTGGGGTTGTAGGATATTCATTACTTCCTCTCAATGTAATAGCCCCTGTGCTTTGGGTGGTGGGATCATTTGAAGTAGTGTCTACATTTATAAAACTGTTTGGCGTGTTCTGGGCTGCCAACCATGCTGCTTCGTTGTGAAGAATTCAAGACAAAAAGACTCTCCTGATTTATCCAATTTTCTTATATGCATGTTTTGTTATAATATAGAGAGGTGCGACCTGAAAAAGCCATAATTGAGTGGAAAAAGACAGTGTTACATTTGTATGTAAACTGGGAATGCTTGCTGATAAAATTTTACATATTCCAGATGTAAAGACAGAATTAAGTTCTTTTAAAAAGAATGTGTGTATGTGTGTGTGTGTTTAATTAAACTATTCCAGATATCTGTGGGGGTTTGGTCAGAATTCTCAGGTTTGTTTGATTCTTCATGTTCCAGTGAATTGAATATATAGGCATTATATTTTTTTATAAATGGATAAATAAAAAGTAACAC